GGGTCAGACCAGCCTGCACTTGAAGTGCCTCCCTCGTCCTTTCTTAGCCCCGCATCCCTCACCCTCTCCTCTCACGATGTCTCCATTTTCTTTCTTCAGCACCCTGTTTTGGTCTCACATTGCTCATCCTTCTCCCTGGGCCGGGGCCAAAACCCACTGAGGTTTCACTGCAGACCTCGGCAAGCTCTGGGTCTGCACTTGTCCTGGTTCCCGAGAGCTTTTTCTGCCTTGGCCTGCGTGCCGCTAGATAACTGACGCAGCAGATACGCCTCTGCTCCTCCAGCTGTCCTCCCCTTCTCTCTTCTTTGGGCAGAAGAGAACAGAAACCTGAAGCTTTCGAGCCACCCTGCTCCTGTGCCACGTCCCTAACTCCCGTGGTGGCCAGGGCAGGGTCTCCCAGTGCTCCCCCTCGTCTGAACAGCCCCCGCTCCCTGCATCTGTGCCTTGACTTGCTGGGATACACGTGCAGAATAGCCTGGACCCAGTTGCATGCCCACCCCAAGGAGTTTTGTCCACCTCTACAGCACTGTGACATGAAAAGAGAGAAAAGCAGGGAAAGGTCAGTGCAAAGAAAGGTGAAAAAGAGGGAGAAGATCTCTCTTGAATGGGAGAGGCTCTCCCCACGCCTCAGGTCAAACGCGCAGTCGGTTAGACTGTGTGGATGAGCTGGTGTTTGCGTTTCTACAGATTGTATCTGCCATGTGCATGTCAATGTATGTATCTGCTATTGTTTTGAAAGTGAGTCCCTCCCAGTTGTTTTGATGAAAGTGGTCGCACTTAACGCACAGAAATGCCTCCGCTACTTCTCCTCACCCTTGTCCCGAAGTGCCAGAATCAGCCAGGAACAACATATTCCCTTTTAATAAAGTCAGAGGAGGTCCCCGCGGACCCTGGTTGTTCCCGTGGCTGGCTGGCACGCTAGAGCTCACAGCAAGTAGCCTGGCCTCACTTTACACCGTGCAGAGCTGTTAGATGCACGAGCTGTGACATCCAGCAAAGGTGTCAAATAAAGTCTTTCAAAACCACGTCTTGGTTGTGAAATGCAGCGTTGATGTGAGTCTGTTCCGCTAATCCAGCCTGCCTGGATAACTGCTAGCTTTGCAGCAGGTGAGGTTCTGTTCCTGAAAAGCTGAAAAAAAGGTAAGATGTAGTTGGTAAGGTGACATCCCTGCTGGTCGTCTTATAGCTGCTGCTCTTGGTAACTGGCCCCATGACTCTTGGTAACTGGTCCCGTGACTTTTTGCTTTGCAAACCACTACGTGAGGTAAAATCAGCCGGCTAGTCAGCACCGCTTGCCCTGAGATTGGCAACAATCTGTGGCTTGAAAACAAATCATTTCATTCAGCTAGCAGCATCCACAAAAATACCAGGGAACAAATCGGGGCCAGCAGAGCCTTGCAGCCAGACACCAAGGGCTCGCCTCGGTCTCCTGACCTTTTGCAAGCAGGACCAGGATAACCCCTGCTGCTGCTTGCTGTCGGGAAACGCTTTGGACTGAACAAAAGAGCCACAGCTGAGAGCCTGTCTCTGTTCTGGGGAAAGGACCAGTAAACGATCCTGCTCATGAGAGATGCTGGGAGAATTTTCTGGGGAATGGTGGGAACTCGACTTCCTTTCCCATAACTCCTTTTCACTCCAAAATGCCTTTCAAAACCGCCCATAAATCCCTGCCTTAAAGTGCTGTGTTGGGAATTGCTGGAAGGGAGCAACTGCAGCTGTGATGGAATAACGCGGCATCCGTCTGGAAGCAGAGAGAAGCTTCAAGAGCAATAATGGGGCTATTGACGACGGGTCATCCCACTGGTGCCAGGGCTGCCCCGACCTTGCTGGAGGCGGTGGTGGGAGCTCAGTGCTCTGGTGTGGCCTCTGTCAGAGAGAGGAACCAAATTACCCTCCGTGGGAGGCAGGCATACAAACCAGCCCCGCGGGCCACAGTGGTAAAACAAAACAGAGACAGTGGAAAAAAACACTTCCTGATCTCTGCGGATCAAACGGGAGCTGGAGCGGGTGGGAGGGCATCGGTTCAGGCCCGTGGGGTTTTCTCCCCACAGCAACGTGGTGATTAGAGCAGTAGCCCGGGACTGGAGCTTCGTTTTTTTTCCCAGGGTTTTCCTAAGCCTAAACGTCTCCTCTAACTCAACCTGGCAACTTTTGATCTACCCTGTAGGGGAAATCCCCGAACTCTCCGCGCGCTCTCTTCATCCTCCTTCTTCGGGCAAGAAAACATAATGGAGAGGCCTATGGGAAGGCGTGGGCTGTGTTGGGCGCAGTCCGGCTGGGATTGCTCGGTGGCACACAGCACCCTGCCCCGCTCCAGCTCTGACACCGGTGACACTGGAACGGAACAGGGTCCTGATGAACGAGCCTTCGCCTGCTACTTGGAGGGGGCGCGCTCTCTTCATCCTCCTTCTTCGGGCAAGAAAACATAATGGAGAGGCCTATGGGAAGGCGTGGGCTGTGTTGGGCGCAGTCCGGCTGGGATTGCTCGGTGGCCCACAGCCCCCTGCCCCGCTCCAGCTCTGACACCGGTGACACTGGAACGGAACAGGGTCCTGATGAACGAGCCTTCGCCTGCTACTTGGAGGGGACAAGGCGGGAGGTTTGCTATGCAGCAGGTGCTCTAGCAGCGAGCGAGTCCTGCTCTCCCGAATTCCCTTGCTGGAAAAACGTTGCTTCTCAGAGTTGGGCTGATGCCTGCCCTGGGTGAGCCGCTCGCCCCACTGTGCTGCGGGGTTTTTCTGTGTGCAGTGCAATCCCGGCCTGCCCTCTGCTGGTAAAATCTCAAAGCTGAGGAGGAGAAATCCTAAACCAAGTTTTTTTGATTAAAAACTTGCCATCCGTGTTGAAGAATGGATGGTCTTCTATGATGACCCACCAGCGACTGAGTTACCATGCAGACACACGACAGCAGAGCGGCTTGGGAGGCCTCTAGGTGATGGGTCTCACACCAGTGTCATCGATGGGGATGGACTGGTGAGACAAAGACATTAAAAGTCGTAACCTTTGCTCCAGGCACTGCTGGACGTCTTGAGAGGGCGAACTGGGAGAATCTTGGGCTTTGCTGGTCACCGCAGGCAGCTGCACTCGTGCTTCCAGGGCAGTGACAGCAGTGGGGTTCTTGGGACAGTTTTGGTACCCTCAGCCCATCGGTTCGTGTTGGGAGTGATGAGGACTGAGGAGGACACATGACTGTAGCTGTCTGCATGGTGTCCCCTGGGAGGGGATGCAGATGTCAAAAAATATGTTTCAAATAAAAGCCATTCTCAGCGCAGCCACAGCAGCTGCTTGCAGCCAAAGGGCGTTTTTTTATGTGGAAATATGTTCTTCGAGCTCTGCTGCGTTTTGACTTTAGCTGTCAGAGCGAGAGCCGCCCCGAACTCCTTCCACAGCAGGACACTCATCTCAGCCCATGGTCTCCTGGCTGAGGAGATGCTGGCTGCGGAGGACCGAACAGCGGCAGGTGCCACGTGTATTCCCACCAGCACGCACCAGTGCTGCCTCCCAGCACCGCCAGCTGTTGGGAGGAAGATGATGAGCTCAGGAGGAATATAATTTGTGTCTTTAGAGAATAACCTGGACTGAAAATATTGCGAAATATTACAATTTACTTTGCTGTTGTTACCTTTTATTCTGCTACTCTCCATTATTCCACTGTAATGAAGTATCACATTGCATTTTTATGATAAAATTATCCCACTTTTAAAGCAAATGAAAGACAACGTAATGTAGAATTGAAAAGTCACAGCAGACCAGCCCCTGGAGACTTAGTCCCCTTTAACAGGACATCCACGGTGCCCGAAGGTCACTGATGAATCACTGAATCCCGTGTTGCTGTGTCCTCACGCTCTGCTGAAGATGCTGGGAATAGATAATTACGTGTCTCCCTGGAGCTGAATCCCGTGAGTGTGAAGCTGTGGGATGGCGGAGGGGGGTGAATCTCTCTCTTGTTCCAGCAGCTTTCTTCTGCATTCGGAGTTGGTCAGCCCTCACCCTGGGAAGAAGGACTGACAGCTCGCTTCCACAGGGAGACGTTGAGGACCCTTGGTCCCGCTCCAG